GATTCTTGGAAAATGGGAGTTTCCCAAAATTAGGCTACCTTATCTTCGGGCCCTTATAATAAGGATCCTACTACTTAGGGTACTATATTGGGGTCCCCTATTTTCGAAAACTCCCAAATAGGAGACCCCAAACGTAGACCCTCAGTAGTGGGATTCTCTCTAGGATGTTTACACAACATGGTCAGGTGCTGCGCCACCTGCCAGGCTCTCAGCGCAAGCAAAGCACTGTGCTGCTCTTCCCTTTGGACAGCACGACCTGATTCCCAAACCGTCAGCTGCCCGTGATAGCTCCTGACGGAAGGCCAAAAAGACCGAAACCCTAAACCCTAAAACCCTAAACCCTAAACCGACAAAAAGACCCAAATCCTTCATCCGGCACCTCATGACTTCGGTCTTTGATCCAAGATCCATAAGGCCAGCAGCGGACCAGCCCCGGTTGGAAAGGCATCGGCACATGCTTGGTTCACCTTGCTTCCGTATTTTAGATATTATATTTTGGGGCTCCTTAGTATAAATATAGTACTTTGGGGCTCCTTATTATAAAATATATTATTTTGGGGCTCCTTATTCTAAATATAGTATTTTGGTGCTCCTTACTATAAATATAGTATTTTGGGGCTCCTCATTATACTTGTAATATAACATACCCTGAGGTCAGGGCTGAGAGTTCAGGATGTTCCGGCCTGTGCCTATCTACCGCCCTCAAATTACGCCGTCACCGAATCTATCCCAAAACACCCTACTGTGTATGAGATCCTGATAGGGGTGAGCCCTGAACTTGGCAAAAGCCTGAAGAGGAGTCAAGCCGCAAGGATCTGGAATTCAAGCAACCTTTTACAGAGACCCTAAACCCCAAAACCCCTAAGCTTTGCGGACTTTCTTGGGCGTCTCACCAGATGTAAATCGCTGACCCCCCGAAACCTTGGAGTCTCGAAGCCCTGTTCTGAACGCACCAGCCTCAAGAAAAAAAGCAGCCTTAAGCGTCTAGGGTTTAGGGTTAAGCGCCTTGAGCCCATTACCTTCCTTCAAAGCTGATCCGTGAGGTGGAGGGAGCTCCTGCCGCTTCTCCATCCCTGACCCCAAGAACTGCCTGACACCCGATTTTTGGGGTTAGGGCTTCGGGTTGGGCTTTTTAAGGTATTTTTGAGCTTAGGGTCTTTTTCAGGTTATGAGGTCTAGGGATTTGGGATCAGAGTTTAGGGTGTGAGGGCTCCTTGCAATAGTTACTCGGTGAGTATGTGTGCATGTGTTTGTGAATATATATATATATACACATAATATCATCCAGAGAACCTCGATACCCCGAACCCGAAGATCCAGAACTTCAGAACCCCTCGAGACCCCAGCCCTGACATCCCAAGGGGTCCTCAAGGAAAGCGCTGACCCACTGTCCCCCCCCCCCC